AAAAAAAAAAAAAGAATCCCATGGGCTTTCCTGCCTGGGTTGGCTTTGAACCGTGATCCTCAGATCTCAGCCTCCTGAGTCGCTAGGATGACAGAAGTGAGCCACTGGTGCCCTGCACCCTGGTGATTTTCTGAGCCAAGCCCAGCAGGGTCTGGCTCTGTGGCTGAGGCTGCTCTTGGACTTCTAGGCTTTCCTGCCCAGTGCTGGGATTGCAGGCGTGTACTAGGACTCAAATGATCCACCCACAGAGGCGCCGGCTGGCCCCCGGAGCGCTGGCTAGGTGGCCTGGTCACCTGGTAGGAGTGGAGGGGGGGATGCCCGTCCCTCCTGTCCCCTACCGGGTGGTAGCTGTGCGCGCCTGTCTGCAGGAGCAGCTGCTGCAGGGTGTTGATCATCTTGCGCCGGCGCCGGCTCTCCTCGCGCAGGCCCTTGAGCTCGTCGGCCTGGCGGCCCAGCTCCTGCTGGCCCCGCTGCTGCTGGCCCAGGCTGGCCTGCAGCCGGGCCTCCAGCTGGGCCACGCTGGCGCTCAGACAGTCCTGGCAGTGCAGCAGGTACTCGATGGTCAGCTGGGCCAGGCGCAGCACCTTGAGCAGAGCGGGGTCCACGGGGTGGCCGCAGCGGCTGCAGGCCTCGCGGCCCAGGTCACAGAAGGTCACGCTGGCTATGTTCTCCTGCAGGGCGGCCACGTCCAGCTCCCGCGCCACCCGCTCCACGTCCAGGGCGCTGATGCGCCTCCAGTCGAGGCTCCCACGGCGAGGCTGGAACTTGAAGGCTGGGAGGGCAGAGCCGCCGCCACCGCCACTGCCCAGGCCTTCAGCTGGGGCCACCGGGGACTGCATGGGGCTGACCACTGCGGTGGTGGGGTGCCACCAGGGCCACGGTAGCTGGCCGAGGAGGTGGCAGACAGCCTGGAGGGGAGGGGGAATGGAAGACAGGAGGATGGAGGTCTAAGGATAAGCACAGGGCAGAAGCACAAGACCCTATCTGAATAACAAACGAAACAGAAAAGGAAGAGGGGCTGCGAAGCTGGCTCAGGGGTAGAGCGCTCGCCTCTCATGCATGAGGCCCTCAGTGTTCGATTCCTCAGCACCCCACACAGAGAGAAAGCCGGAAGTGGCGCTGTGGCTCAAGTGGTAGAGCGCTCGCCTTGAGCTCAGGGACAGCGCCCAGTCCCCGAGTTCAAGCCCCATGGCGGACCCAAAAACAAAAACCAAAAACCAGCATGCTGGCTTTGAGGATCTGAGCACATGACAGACAAGGGGAAGCAAGTGGACGTTACCCTGCTGGGCCAACTTCCTTCTACATTAAGAGTCATGGAAAATCTGAGAATAAAGGCCGGGGGGAACAAATGGTAGGGCTGGGGTGACAGAGGGGGAAAAGCCTAGGACAGACCCCATACTTGACACTCCAGGCTGGGCAATGTGAGGACGGAAGCTAGGTGCGGGGGGAGCCCAATACCAGCAGCACAAGGGGGGGAAACGCAACTCCTAAAGGGGTCCGTGGGAAACTTGAGTGGGTGCAGTATTATTGGCCCCACTTCACAAACAAGGAAAGTGGTTGGGGAAAGTGGAGGGGGGAAAGGTTTGAAGAGATGAACCCCACGGCAGGAAACCCAAATTCAGGTGCAGTTTTACATGCACCAGGCCCTACTCAACACTGATGCTTGGGCCTTCTTGTCCTAAAATTAGTATTAGTTTTCCTTTTACCCTCCCACTTGCAGTGCATCCATTCATTCCCCTCCCTGCTTGTTTAATAGATGGCCAGACCTGAGGGCTATGCAGATGCGTTGTCAGCCACACACCTGCCCTCCACCCTGGAGTCCAGCACGGCTCCTGGCTGTCAAGGTACTGAGTGCAAATCTCTCAGCCTGTCCACAGGATGCTTCAGGCTTTCCCTAATGCTCTTCCCTATCACAGATTTGCAATAATAATAATAATAATAATAGTCGGGTGCCATTGGCTCACGCCTGTCATCCTAGCTACTCAGGAGGCTGAGACCTGAGGATCGTGGTTCAAAGCCAGCCTGGGCAGGAAAGTCTATGAAACTCTTATCTCCAATAAACCACCAGAAAACCATAAGTGGCGTTGTGGCTCAGGTGGTAGAGCGCTGGCCTTGAGCTGAAGAGCTCAGGGACAGCGCCCAAGCCCAGAGTTCAAGCCCCACAATGGACCAAAATAATAATAATACCACCCAGCCATGAACCACTCGCACCCCAACCACGGCCACAGGTAGACAGTCCAGCCTACCCTTACCTCGAGTGTGGAGTTGCAGAAGTAAAAGCCATGGTGGGGCGACACAGGACTCACCATGCTTAGCTCCGAGCTGCAGCCTCTCCCAACTGGCTGTGCGTTAGAGCAACCGCAGGTTACCAGGCGTGCCCGGCCAAGGGTAACAGGACGCCGAGAATGTCACTGTTTAACTATTTAAGCTCTGGTCTCAAGTGTGTGCCAACCGGTCTTCTCTCGATGTTAAGGTCAAGGTAGGGCAAGCGCTCTACCACTTGAGCCACAGCGCGCCACTTCCGACTCTTTCTGAGTCATTTATGGGACGTAAGAGTCTCACAGACTTTACTATTCAGGCTGGCTTTGAACCACGATCCTCAGATCTCAGCCTCCTGAGTAGCTAGGATGACAGGCCTGTGCCCTGCTACCTCTCCTCTTCTCGGACTGCTCCCTAAGCTTCCTCCTTAACAGGAACTATTCTTTACCTTTAAAGCCAAGGGGTGGAGGGGCCCAGTGCCCCCTGACATTCTGCTGCCCACCCGCACCCCATTTCTACTGTATGTTTTTCCAGCTTTGTCTGAGCCTCAGCTACCACCCTCCCCTCATTCTCTTTCTCCGGCTTTTGTGACCATCAGACCAGTAACTCTGTCCAAAGTGCTTCTATCAGCTATAGAAACCCAAGTTCCAGAACAGACTATGAAGGGCCAGGGAGAAAAGAAAGGTGACTTAGTGGTAGCACTTGCCTAGCATGCATGAAGCCCTGGGTTCAACTCCTCAGTACCACATACACAGACAAAGCTGGAAGTGGCACTGTGGCTCAAGTGGTAGAGTGCTCGCCTTGAGCAAACAAAGAAGCTCAGGGACAATGCCCAGGCCCTGAGTTCAAGCCCCAGCAC